CCCAAATGTTTAGGAGAAAGCCTCTGTTTTCCAATAGGAGGAGGTGTGGGAAGAACCAGGGCAAGAGGAGACTCCTGAGAAGAGAGTGACTATTAAATCATACTTGGTACAAGCATGTGCCTGTATCTTTTACCTTCAGGGTGTAGAAAAGAGTAGAGAAAGCTGACGCTCCTAGCAGATAGGAGCCACTTTCTAAACTCTGTCCCTCTTTGCAGACCTAAAGTTTGTTTTATTTCTGCCAGTTTGTACAAGTCCTGTTTCTTATATTCTAGGGACTGGCTTCCAAGGCCTTCTGTTGGCCACTCCTGTGCCTCAGGTTTACAGTGCGTGACAGTATCTTTGTTTATCAGCAGCTGATATTTTACTTGGAGGTCTCAGTCTTCTTTGTCAGGTGGTTCTGCTTATTAGCTCCCACAAATTTATTTGACTCGCCAATTTGTCCTCATCATCAGATGCTTATTTTTACTTTTTCATACTTTGATTCTTTTTTCCAACATTCCCATTTAGAGTTTGGTAAGTTGTAGTCTTATAGATTTGTATAAATTTATAATGTCATATTTTGCCCCACGCTAAAATTTGTTTTGCAAATAGCATATGTACATCACCATGAAAGAGAATAAAAAGGACATCCTTGCCATAATGCAGTGCAAGGTGTTATCCCTATCGGATGAATTGTTAATTCAAAACAATCAAACTCCTGTCTTGTAAGACAAGCCCAGAAAATGACTGAGATACCCAAATTTGCTGTATAATGTCCTTAGTCTAGGAAGGATTGTGTGGATGCTGAGATAGATTTGAAGAGTTTGAATCACAGGCATTTTTGGCCCCGGAGGACAGAAATAAGGGCAAACTAGCTTATTATATGCATATGTGAATGAGAGACTGAGCTAGAACTAATTCTAGATGAAAGTATCTTGTTCTAGGATTATCCAGCCTCCTTGAAGGACTTAAAGATTTTGGTTTTGGTTTGCAAAACCTTGCCCTTCTCCTTTAAATCACTTAGATGAGACCCAAGTACACATCCATCGTTCACTTCAGCAAAAGTTACAAAACTATAGCTTGAGGTGAAGAAAGGAAACCTTGGGTCACTTGATCCCCTGCAGAGGACCTAATCAGGTCATTGTAGCTTGCAGGTCATTGCAGCTGCCTCCCTCTGGTGACCCTCTTACATAAACAGGAACAGGAATTCTCGCTACTGGATCCCTTTCATCAGACGTCTTAGGCTTGCTGAATGAAAAGCCCTATAAAAAGGAGATACAACTCTAATAATAATAAATACAATCGTGGTGGTTATTTTGGGCAAGAGCAGCTTTGTGCCGCTCTTGATCTCCATCAGTGTCTGCCATTCTTGCCCTGCTATTACCTTTCAGACTTCCTATTCTTAGAATCATTTGTGATCCCTGGGCTTTGAGGATTGCAGCCCCCAGGGCTGGAATGCCCAGCTTGAGTGGAATGCAGACTGTCTGTCAGAGCGGAGGTTAAATAAAGTTTGCTTTGGCAGCCCCCTCTGCTCTTGGGTGGACAATAAGTAACTCGGGTGTAGGAGCAATGGCATGAGCTGCCATGTGGTACGTTACTGAACAGAGTATTCTCTGCATGAGTAGAAGTGGTTGGTGGTCCATTCATGACCGACATAGCCATGCTAGTCTTAAATGAGGTATATATTAAGGAGGCCTTGACGGTCTTAAACCTCAGCTAGTGACCCGATCACTCTGAAAAAATGCAGGGGCAAATAAAGGTTAATATTGAAACACATTCCATGTTTTCAACTCTGGATTTGATGTATCTGCCCCCTCAGGATTATTGACTCATTTTTGAAAGTAAGGCATAGGGGGAAATTTTTGTTTTAATAAGAATAGTTGTCAGTCAATCAACAAACTGTCTTAAGCACGAAGGCACTGTGGGAAATTTTTTTAAAGTACAAGACACAGAACTCTTGCGGCACTTATAATTTAGTTGAAGAAGTAAAGCTGAGAAAATAATTCATATTCCAAAGTAAAATACTAGCTTCAAACTTGTGCTACAGAACTAAGTGCCAAAGGAGGTCTAAGGAGAAAGAGAACACTTCTAGCTAGGATGGTCAAGAAGGATTTTGTGGAGGAGATGGGGTTTAAACAGGTCTTGCCAGAAGGGCAGACTGCAGCAACTGGAGAGAAGAGGGCCTTGTCAGAGAGATGACTATTGTGAGCAAAGAGTGGATGTAGGAAATCCTCAAGACAGGTCATGAGGACTTGGAAGACCAACTGAATATGGCCAGGTGGTGAAGGAGAGGGATTTGTGTAAAAGTCACCAAACCCTTAACTATGAAGGCTGTGTGTACACGTTATTGAGAAGGTTACAATGCTTCCCACTAGAGGAGAGCAGGAAAGATGTAGGTGCAGCCTTGCCCAGAGACCAAGGTCCTTTTAGTATTCTGTCTGTAAAACCCCTAGTACAATATGTGGCTCACACTGGAAACTCAGTAAATAAAACGATTACTGTTGTGACTCATCTTCAAATTCTGGTATCCCAAGTTGTTGAATTGGCTTGGTTTTGATTGTGAGAGTTGGTGCTGACTTTGCTTTGCCCTATTCTGATTGCTTACATGATTCATGCTGTCTTAGTTCATTTGGGCTGCTATAACAAAGTACCATAAGCTGGGTGGCTTATAAACAGCAGAAATTTATTTCTTATAGTTCCGAAGGCTGGGAAGTCCAAGATCAAGGTACTGGCAAATTTGGTGTCTGGTGAGGGCCTGCTTCCTGATTTATAAATGGCCCTCTTCTCCCTACGTCCTCATGTGGTGGAAGCATCAAGGGATATCTCTTGGGTCTCTTTCATAAGGGCACTAATCCCACTCATGAGAGCTTCATCCCCATGACATACTCACCTCCCAAACGCCCCACCTCCTAATATCATCACTTTGGAGGTTAGGATCTCAAAATATGAATCTGCCGGGAACATAAACATTCAGTCCATTGCCTTGCTATGCTCTTTCTTTCACACTTATCTGAGCTTTCTTTGCTCTTTGACCACAGGTGGCTAGAGGTTCAGGTAGCTAATCTAACATGTCCACAGCGTTGGGTGCAGTACCTCCGGCTTCTTCAGGAATCCATCTGGCCTGGTGGAGTTTTGCCTAAGTTTCCGCGGCCTGTAAGGACCCAGGAACAGAAGGTGGCTACTAAGAAACAGGCTTTGCAGAGCCTGATGGGAGTCCTACCAGGTAATTGGACCAATGAGATTGATTCTACTGATAGTTCTCCCCCTCCCTGTCTGTTTCACCACCATCACCTCATTCCCTTCCCCATTTTTAAATGGGCCTTGAATGTAGCTAGAAGCAAAACCCATCAACCTACCATTTCTCGGGCTAATAGGAAAATGATCAGGGCTATGATTCTTTCATCCCTCACTTAGGTGATGCTGAGGGAAGGGAAAGGACTGATATGGCCACACCCTAAATACTAAGTGAGAATCCTGCAGATATTTGGGTTAATAGCTTTTGGGCAGGTCTGGGGAAACTGTACCTACAGGGGCAGGTCTCAGAGCCATTCCCACCAGATGAAGACTTAAAGTTCCCTGCCAACTCATGGCATTTTGGGACCAGGGGTGAAAATATGTCCTGCAGAAGCTCAGACTTGATAAATTGGGGCCACTGAGTAAGGCACATTGTCCTTAGCAGTAAGTAAAAACAAAGCCTGAGAAGCTTGTTTTTCCTTTCCTTTGTGTTGGTTTTAGAGGGTGGGGAAGGCAGTTTGTTGCCTGTGGCTGTGGTAACCAGGGAACAGTAGTGAACTCAGCTCTGGACAGTTTATTTACTCTTAATTAACCCTCTCTTCTCCAGCCTAAACTGTTAACATCAGGAGTAGTACCTGCACTTTAGTGGCAAGTTATAAAATTATTTCTTGAGGCCTATTCTTATTTAGATACCTAAATTAAGAAACATATTATTCTTAGCTTTTCCCTGCTTTATGAGGTTTTAGTTTTACTATGTAGTTCAGAGGTATGCCAGAAATACCCAATCTGTGTAAAGATGGCAAAGATCCTGGTGAGAGAGTCTCCTTAGAATCTAAGGCTTCAGCAGTAACACGAAAATTACATCTGTTTTTTCCTCATCAGATTTTGTTGTAGAAATCCTTGGGGTGAATAAATGCCAGCTGAGCTGGGGTCTAGTCTTGGAGTCACTACAGCAACCCCTCATCAACAGGTAGGCTGAAGTATGGGCACCCAACATCAACAAAGCTAAAGCTGTCTGTGGTCTCAGAGGTACGCAAGGTTTCTGAGTGCAAAACTCACATTCAGAAGACTGGGATTGTAGTCTTCTTGCTCTTTCCCCTGACTGGACAGTCTGATGTCCAGATCCATACACACTAAGTAAAATCTATGCTGCCAGGCTTCTAAGAACATTGTCATGTGGTAGTAAGCTGCTATTGGGCCAGCCACTATTTGTATTTTGAAGAATTCAATGCAGGCCCCATAAGAGCTGCTAAAAATGCCGTTAGCCTCCAGACTTGTTCAGTACACTTAAAGGTTCTTTCCAAAAAATGCCAGCCCCTGTGAACTCTGTGAGAACATAGCCTGGCCTGTGTATTACAGGCCATATAATGATTTTCAACATACATTCATAGCTTTATAGCAAAGCTGTGATCGATGTTAAGATTTGGAGTTTGTCTTTACTTAATACAAAGAGGTCTTCAGAAAGTTCATGGAAAGATTCCTATTTAATTTCATTTTTCCACATACTTTTAAAAATACCCTCGTATGAAATAGACAAGGTAGTGAGGTTGGAATCTCTATAAAGGGATTAGAAATGCTGGGTGGAGACTTAGAATAATCCAGAAGTGGTGGATTCCATCCCTTGGGCAGGAATGCTTTTGGAAAGTATTGAGTATTCTTGCACTTTTCTTTTAAGCCCTATCCCAAAGTAGACTGAGTCTATTAACTCCCATTCCTCAAGGGTCCTATAGACTAATTATGAGAAACAGCAGTAGTCAGAAACTCTAAAAATTCTTAGTAACATGAAATCACAGTGATTTTCCCTCACAGCTCTTCAGAGCAGTACTGATGTGCTGATGTAACTATGTAAAGAGAAATGGAATTTTGTAAAATCTAGTCTCAAGTGCTGTTCTTGCCTTTATTGGGATTGTAGGCTTTGTTAGTTCAACAAGCATGTATTTCATGGCAGAAGCTTCATCAAGCTATTGAAGTTTAGGACATCAGTAATAGGTGAGGGTGGAAGAGAAAATAAATGTCACAAACAGGATCTTATGTTTCTTGTCTGAGCCAGATCCTCTTCAAAGTTGTTTTGTCCATTTGTTTCAGGCATTTGATTTACTGCCTTGGGGACGTCATCCTAGAATTCTTGGATCTCAATGCCTCTGTTGAGGAGTCTGCCACAGCCACTTCTGCCTCAGATACCCCAGGCAATCTGAAGAGGATTGGTGTCTCTACTTAGCTCTAGGTTATTTACACTTTCTTCCAAGGTTAGGAAAGGAGAGTTACTTAGCCACCCAGAGACTAGTCAGGAAGCTTGTGCCCTCTGTAGTAGGCTATTGCTCAGAAGGCCTGGGGTTTCATGGCTCTATTCTCCCCCCAGTTCTACTCCATTTCTAGTGAGTAACAGGGATTCCTGTACCAATTGCATGCATATCCATTTCCATATCTTTTTTGTGGTATTTGGATTGTGACTGGTGGGGGATCCTGTTTCCTTTGGAAAAGGAAGCTGTGAGGTAGAGGAATGAACCCCTTTTGCTTCTCCTTTTGTCCTTCCTCCTAAGATTGTTTGCCAGAAACCTAGCCCTTTGCACACATGTGCCTAATCCACCAACACACAGGCTCTGGATAGAACTGGAAAAAAAAACTATAGCCAGCTTTCCTTGGAGAAGAAAACAGTTTTCTGAGCAGTGTATTCCCACCTGGAAACTAAAATTTCATTCAGGGCCACTCTTGAAAACCAGACCCCTGGGTCCTGCTTAGTGTCCCAACAATTCCAGAAGAAGAGGGAGGAAAAGATTTCTTGAGGGATTTCTTGCTCATTGGCTGTTTTCCAGCACATCAGCCTTATGGAGGATGTTATAAAGGCTGCTTCCCTGGGTGGCTATACTTTTCCTGTCCAGAAGACTTCAATGCAGACTGCCAAAGCTTCTGGTAAATCCACCCCACCCATTACACCCTTTCCTGAAAGGGAGTTTCACCACAAATTTTATTTATTAGCTTCCTCCCAACCCCCTGCCCAGGAGCAATTGAGTTTGATTTTGTGACCTTCCCTCTATCTTCAACAGAATCTCACGGCAAGTTGCATACTCACCCTCAGTGTTTCCAAAGAAAAGGGAAAGCACTTGATCCACAGCTGAGAATGCCCAAAGAATAGGAAACCCAGGGAATGAGGGGATCTCTCTCCACAGTCTTTGGCAGGGAACCTTTACTCTGAACAAGTACTGTTAGCAAACTTGCAGGGAACAGCTTTTTACTTCCTGTTCCATAAGGATCTAATTACTATTTAAGAACACTAGCAATGAAGGCAAAGGTGCTCTGGCATGCTGCAGGGTTTGTTAGAAAGATAGGATGGTTAGAGGAATTGCTGGTAGAGGCAGGCTTATGAAAAGTCACAAGGAAAGTGCCGCACACTGAATGCATGTGAATAGCTGGCAAAAGGGGTTTCAAGGGCATCACAGGGAGGCCTTTGCTGACCCCTCCTCCCTTAGCTCCACACTGGCCTGTTAGTGCCCTGCTTTCACTGAATCATGAGACCCTCCTGCTTGGAGGAGGGTCTCCGAGATAGACTGTTGAGAATGGAGTGGGGCTTCAAGAACACGTGTCAAGTTTCTCTTAGACTCTGAAGTAGGTAACGAGCACACAATTAAAGTGGTTTGTGGAAGAAAGTTGTAAAATCTTTTTGCTTTTTCCCTCCCCTCTGGAGGCTTTTAACCATAAGTCGGGTTCAGATATAATTGGGAGTCTTAGGTGTGCTATTCTTGCCAAAAGGCAAGGAGATGCATGTCTCATGGCCCCTTCTAGTTTTAAAAGTTGGTTATTGCAGTGACTTTATGGCACCAAAATTCTCGAAGCATCTTCCACTCTAGACTTTCACAGGCAGAGGTAGCTTAGCATCTCTGCCTGTGCCTGCAGCAGTATGGATTTGCAGCAGTCCAGCAGACAGAGCTGATCCTTTAGCTCCTTCCGCGAAGCCCAGGATGCTATTCTGGGTAGGTGGGGGTGGGCAGCCCTATTTTCTGCTACCCTCTCTCCCTGTACTTCCCCCTCATGTGTACTTAACCACCCATGTTGTTTTGAATCTGTTTCCAGTTCTGGCTCAGATGTGGCACAAAATCAGTAAAGCGATAACCAGACACACCATGAAACCCCTGTGGCTATAAATTCTAAGAATCTTTTGACAGTTACAGCCCAAAGAACTTACTTGTATTTCATGTTATGTAAGAGACCCCACCTCTACTCCACCTGCCCCAAAAAGATAAGCTGTCCTCAGACCCTCCTTCTACCCAGGAGGGAAATAATGGGTATCACCAAGGAAATAATCAACACCCATCTGACTTTGAAAACAACCTGCCAAGTTTAAGTAGCAGGTTTAGACAACGAGAGAGAGCAGCATTTGGGAGAGAGCCACAGGTATCAGGAAAAGATACTCCCAGCTGAGACAGTGATAAAGACAATGAAGAACTGGGCCTGCACTAACCCAGAATTTTTTTTTTTTTTTCATTTATAAGTGACTAAGTTTTATTCATTTAAGCCAGAATTTTAATATTTGACATAAGACTAGGGCCCTTGCACTCTTCTTAATAACCTTTCTGTTAAAAAGAGGAGGGGGAAATGCTGTGTTCCATTTATAAGTGACTAAGTTTTATTCATCTAAGCCAGGATTTTAATATTTGACATAAGACTGGGGCCCTTGCACTCTTCTTAATAACCTTTCTGTTAAAAAGAGGAGGGGGAAATGCTGTGTTCTTTCTGTCAAATTCTAAATGTGACTCTTGCCATTACTTATTTGAATTCAAGAAAATTGTACTTATTCATCACAGATTACCCACATTTTTATTTTTATATTGTGGATTAGGCTTAATAAAACCTAAAAGAAAAATATATCCCAACATCTGAGCATAGATACGTGTATAAATTTTAAAATTAATGCAAGCTGCCCCAATTTCCAGTTTGCAAATTTCTAGTTTGAGATGACTTTTTATTGTTGTAAAGAAACACATGTGAGATCTACCTTTTTAACAAATTGAGTGTACAGTGCATTATTGTTAACTATAAGCAGCAGTGTTGTACAGCAGACCTCTAGAAGTTTTTTATCTTGCATACGTAGAACTTTATACCCATTTGAACAGCAACTCTCCTTTTCCCCTTCCCCACAGCCTCTGGCAACCACCATTTTACTTTTTGCTTTTATGAGTCTGACTACTTTAGATACCTCATATCAGTGGAATCATACAGTATTTGTCCTTCTATGACTGGCTCATTTCATTTAGCATAATGCCCTCTGGGTTCACCCATGTTGTAGCATGGAACAGAATGTCTCTCTTTTTTAAGGCTGAATAATATTCTGTTGTGTGGCTGTGCCACTTTTTCTTCAGTCATTCATATGTGATAGACATTTGGGTTACTTCCACATCTTGGTTAGAATGTCTCTCTTTTTTAAGGCTGAATAATATTCTGTTGTGTGGCTATGCCACTTTTTCTTCAGTCATTCATATGTGATAGACATTTGGGTTACTTCCACATCTTGGTTATTGTGAATAATGCCAGAGTGCACACGGTAGTGCAAATATCTCTTCAAGACACTGCTCTCAGTTCTTTTAGATCAATACCCAGAAGAAGATTGCTAGATCATATGATAGTCCTATTTTTGATTTTTTGTGGAACCTCGATACTGTTTTCTATTTTACGTTCCCCCAACAGTGCCCAAGAATTCTAATTTCCCCACATCCTCACCAACACTTATGTTTTGTTGTTGTTTATAATGGCCACCATTACAGGTATGAGGTGTTATCTGATTGTGGTTTTTATTGGCATAACCCAGAACATTCTTGATTAGTACATGAGTAGGGGAACCCCAGGGGTTGATTGATTCATCAACTCCAGGACCTTATCAGGGGCCCAGGTTCTTTCCATCTTTCTGCTCTGCCATTCTAAACATGCTAGCTCTGTCTTTAGACTGCCTGTCTTCATGGGTTCTGCAATGTTGAGTGTCACAGCTAGAAGTAATGTCCATGAAAGAACAAGCATCTCTTCCATTTTTCTTCTAAAGAATGAGGGAACCATTTCCCAGAAGCCCTTCAAGAATCCTCTTCTCATGACTCCTTGGTTAGAACTGCCCACCCCTCTGCCAATCCACTGACATTGAGAATGGCATTACTGTGATTGGCTTGGCAATAGTATTTACCCTGGAGATGAGGTCACCCTCCATGAAAGTCAGATACCTTTAAAAATAGCTAGATGTTAGCAAGGAAGAAGCAGAGAATGGATGTTAATGGACATTGTCTGCTATATGGGTCATTCTGCCAACATTCAACAAATCCCCCATGGCACTCTCAAAATACCTGATGCCAGCTAATAGTTCACATTTGCTGAGAGCACCACTTATGCATTTTGTGTAACTTGTTTAACCCACACATCAACTCTGTGAGGTAGGTTCTATTTTATATTCCCATTTTATACATGAGGACATGAGGCATAGAGAAGACATGACTTATAGTCACTTGCAAGGAAATGGCAGAGCCTAGATACAAATCTTGCTAGCCTACCTCTGAGCCTATATATATAAAGCCACTGTGATAAACTGCCTTTCTCTCTTACAAAGCAAAATAAGACCAGATTCTCACTTTTAAGGGGTGTATATAGTCTGATATAGGAGCAAGCAAACTTTTTCTGTAAGGGGCTAGAGAATAAATATGTCAGGCTTTGCTACCGTATGGTCTCTTTTATAACTACTCAGCTTTTCCACTGTAGCATGAAAACAGTCATCAGCAGTTCATAAACAAATATGTGTAGCTGTGTTCTAATAACACTTGATTTACAAAAACAGGGAGCTGGCCAGATTTGGCCCATGAGCCGTAGTTTGCAGACCCTTGGTCTAATGAGTTGGAATAGTGCTTATCAAACTTGAATGTGCATGTGATTCACCTGGGATCTTGTTAAAATGCAAATTTTGATTCAGTAGGCCTGGGGTGAGGCCTAGTTAAAATAAGTGCTATGCTCCGAAAATGTCAATGTCATGATTGTCCCGATCCTCTGCTGTTTGAGGGAGAAGTTGGAGATACCTTGCTTCAGGAACCCATCCAGCCAAGCTGTCTTGGCAAGCCTCAGCTCCCACAGCCCCCTTAGCATCTGCTGTTTACCCCAGTCTTCCTTTGCACTGAAGCAAGACATGTCTTCCCAGGATGAGGAAAGGAAAGTTAGTCAACCCTGCTGGATGTGAAAGGGGATGGGACCTAGGGAAGGAATGGTAATTGGAGAAGAAGGGAAACCATGATGCTTTTGTAGTTGAAGGCCCAACTGGGCAGGCTCTGCCATAACTTGGAACCTCTGTTTCCTTCCACTGGGAGTGCCAGAAATAAGAGTAGTAGTTGCTCACACCTCCTTTGTGGACAGGAAAATGAAAACCATTGAAGGATGAGTTTCAGTTTGCAAATCTCCACCACTCCTTTGTGGTATTAAGAATGAGAGATGCTGTTACACACAAAGCAGGTTTTCTCAGGAGAGAGGAAGTGAGGGAGTTATTGCCCCAAACATTACTTCCACATCCTAAGATTTACTTGATATTTCTTATAACACAAAGACCACACTGGCTGGTTTTTAAAAAAAACAAACAGAAGAATGTCTAAATGTCAAGCAAGAAATAAGTGAAAATCATCAATATTTTACCCTCTGATTCAGTAGCCACAGTGTGTGAAGCGGAGGCTGCACCGAAGTGGTGGAGGAAATTCAGACACCAACGGTCACATTGGCAGGTGCACCTGCTGTTCTCAGACTTGCCGAGCCTTCTTGCTACCTCCCTATCACTTCTCACCTGTCTCTGGTCTGAAAGTCCATTTTAACTGCTTTCTTGGAAGCAGAAACAAGCATGTGACAAGATGCAGAGAACTACTGTGGCTTTGCTGTCTGTCCACCAACATGACAAAAGTCTGGTGTGTGCACTTTGCTCTTCATACCTTACCTGCAAGCACTCGTGTAGAAGTCCCCAGCACACTGTCTCTGGGATGTGGAAGGTTGGGAGGGAAGAATGAAAGAAAAAGTAATAGTATCAAGATCCAAACTTAGAAAACCTTTCTTGAGGTGACATTATCTGCTCTTTTTAGCCCAAAGTAGACTCCTTTGTCACCAGTCAGTGTTTGTTTAGGAAGTGCAAGCTAATTTTATCATTAAAGTGTTAAAATGATTAAGAAGGTAAGTCTGTGGTTTATCTATAATCCACAGTTTGGCTTTTTTTCTTTCCCTTGTTCTTTATGTCACTGCTGTACCCTGTTACATAAGCAAAGGGGTGGCAAATTTCATCTTTAGGACCTTATTATATCTTTATTCAACAGCAAATATCAAATGAAAGAAAATTGTCCTTTTATTTCCTATGCCAGAATTCACACAGTTTTCTAACGGTGCTGTTCACAGTCTAAATATGTGGGCCATAAGGGTCTAACCTAAGCTGTTTAAAGAAAATGAGTTCTAATTTGAAAATGTTTTTTAAGTCATCCAGTCATAAAAATTCCCAGCTTACCCTGCTGACTCTTCAGTCCCCCAACTTTACCTACTTCGAGATCAGAAAGAAAAAAAAAAGTCTGCCTAAAGAAAATATTCTCAACTCCTTCCTACCCCAGACACAAATTTGTAAGGAATGCAATTACCACAAAAAGAAGATAAAGACAACTTT